CTATAAAACAACTAGCTATCTGCTCCTGTCATGCCCAAATTCTCAGTTTCCAAACAACATTTTATTGTTTTATTCTTCAAAATGAACCAACAAGAACACAGACACTTGGAGAATTGCCCTAACATAGAAGCAGAAACTAAACCAAACTAATGCAATAAAGGAGGAACTCAAAATAAATGAAAGCAGTTCCAAATAAATGAGAGAAGAAGGGTTCAAGAACATGTAATTACTATCCCCAGAGAGATAAGAGAAGATACTAAATCCAGAAAATATGAAAATTAATCTATTTTTAAAAAAGGAACATTCATAGAATAATAAAAGTTCTTGAATTTTTTTTAAATATTCAAAAAATATATGGAAGATAAAGTTAAGAAAGTGTCCCACACAGTAGAACAAAAGAAAAAAGAGTTGGAAAATGGGAGATAAAAGATAAGAGCATCTAGAGAACTAGCTCAGGAAATCTAACATCTAAATAATAGGAGTTATAGAAATAAAGGAAAGAAATACAGGAGAGAGGAGAAACTTTTCAAAGAAATAATTCAAGAAAATTTTCTACAGCTGAAGGACATGAGTTTTCAGTTTGAAAGATCCCAAGCGCCCAAGTGAACAACGAATAATGAAAGAAAAACACTGAGGCACACCATCATGAAATTTCAGAGCATTGAAGATAAAGAGAAAAGACTAGAAGTTTCATGGAGAAAAAATGAGGTAACATAAAATGTCTGGAATCATAATAGGACTAAATTTCTCAGGAGCATTACTAGAAATCAGACGACATTGGAGCAATGCCTTGCAAATTCTGATGGAAAAATGCACTCCAACCCATATTCTATAACTAGCCAAATTATGAGTCAACTACGAGAGGGAGACATTTTCAGATGTGCAAATACCTGAGTAAATATCCCTCCTATGAACTCTTTTTGAGAGAGTTACTAGAGGATGTCTCCCACCAAAACAAGAGAGTCAACTAATGAAGAAGATGGAGGAACCAGGAAGCAATCCAGGAGACAGATGAAGAGCATCCTAGGATGAGGGGATGCCGATCCAAAATCTGTCCCAATACACAACTGTGCAGAAGCCTAGAGAGCAATCGGTATGGATTAGAGCAGAAGACTCCAGAGGGACAAATCCAAGAAAAATAAACCTTGTCTGTTTGAATATATTAGAAAGTTATCAGTTCTGTCAAAGAGGTTTGTGATGAATTAGTAATAGGGAAATAGAACACAAAACATATGGAAACAAAAGGGGGTTCAGGGAAAGCAAAAGTTACACAGTTGTAAATAATGTTTACCAAGTCATCATGTGAACAATGAATAGTGATGTGACTGAAAAAGAGAAAAAATAAGTATACCGCAAGGCCAGGTTGGGGGGAAGTGTATGGAAGAGAAGGTGGACAGGTTAAGAAAATTAAATCTTCATCTCCTATAGTAAGAAATAGAAAACATCCAAAACTGAAAATCAAGAAATAGCAGTGTAAGCACGTCATTTAGAAATATGGCCACAATACCAGAAGGAACAGCCCAAAGAGATCAAAGCAGAAGAACCAGGAATTAGGGGCAGGGGGAACAAATGGGCAGG